GCCCCGGCTTCCAGAACAGAGACCAGGCTGCTCTGCCCTGGGTGAGCGCCTGTGGGTGCCAGCTGGGTGCCCAACGCTGTGCTACGCACCCAGGGAGAAGGGGGCCTAGAAGCCGTCCTCCCTGGCCGAGATGGGGTCACCAGAGGGCAGGGGGAGCGCAGAGAGACTTCAGGCAACCGGGGTCGGGCAGGGGGGAGGCCACTAATTAAGAGCAGGGCCCCGGCGACTCTGGAGCCATCTGGCCCTCCGTCCCAGCAGCCCCGGAGCCCCTGGTGGGCAGGGTGTGGGTCTCTCTATGTCCACGCTGTTCCTCGGGGCACATATAGGGGGTGCTTCCCGAATGTTTGTTGGGGGGCTGCGCCCCACCGGCCTGAGTGCCAGCTCCTCCCCAGCCCCAGGCACGGCTTCCAGGCCAGGTGTGGCCTTCCCCTCTTTGCCACCCAGACCCTCCTCGGCCCCTTTCCAAGCCCTGCCTGCCCTCTCTTTCCTCTGCACCACAGCCCTTTGTGCGCCTTGAGTCCTGGGGCCCTCTGTCATTTCACGCATTTCGCAGCGGCTGGCGAGTGCTCAGGGTGCTCTGGTGGGAAGGACGGGACCTCTGAGAGGTGCCTGTGGGGGCCGGGGAGGGGTGAACTCCTCACAGACCCAACCACCACTCGAGTGTTGCAGACAGATGGCCTGGAAGCCCGGACGGACTTGCGCCCAGTACAGCCCGGACCCCTTGACTCCACTCAGAGCCCCCTGTGCCCTGAGTGTCCACCCTTCCCCCTCTGTCTCTCCCTCCATACACGCAGCCCCCCCCGGGGTTGCAAAGTCAAATGCTCCGAACTGGTCGTCGTGGGAGGAGGGTTGAACGACGGCGCAACTCTCCAGTCTCGTATCTGTGTCCTGTGGTCTACGCCCAGCGTCACACGGTCAGGTCACGTGGGGGTTGTGGGGACAGGCTGCAGGAGGAAAGCAGGTCTGAAGAACAGAAAAGGTGCAGACATGTGGGCACGGGGACTGGAAAGGGGGAGGTGGCGTCATTAGCCGAGACAGGAGGATAGGGCACGACGGGGCAGATAACAATAATATACAACGTTATCAAGTGCTGAGTGCCGGAAATTTGACTTGTATTAGCTCAATTGTCCTTACTCCGAGGAAGGTACCATTATCATCATTCCTGTTCCGTGCAGGAGAAAAGTGAGGTGTAGAAGCGCCAAGTGACTTGCCCAAGGTCACACAGCTAGCGACGCCCTTACTCCTTGTCACTGTCCCAACAGTGCTGGGATGGCGGTCACTCGGGGTGGGACTCCAAGTCATCTCAGGGAGATGCTGTCTGTCCTCTGACCCCTGGGGCCCCTGAGGAACCCAGACAGTCTGGAGAAAGCCGGGGAAGTCTCAAGGAGGGAGGCCGGTAGGGAGGGAGGGGACAGAGCGGGAGGAGCCGGCAGTGACTCAGCAGGGCAGGATAAGGATCTTCCAGCCCAGGGAGAGGTAACCCCACTCCTCTGCCAGGGGAGACGGAGTCACGGAGCCCGAGGCATGGGTTGGCCAGGGCAATGGAACATCCTGGGAGGATGGCGGGGAAAGCTCCTGGCAGGCAAGGGAGGAGTTGAGCATCTGGGGCTACCCCTTTTGCCCCTGCCTTCCGGTACCCACTCATCACCCAGACATCCTCGCAGATGGGGAGACGAAGCCTCGGTCGGGCAGGGGAGAGGCAGGCGGCAGGGCCCGGTTCCCCTCAGCTTCACGGGGAAGCAGGGGGCAGGTGGGCGCGCTGTCCTCTGGGAGGCTGAGCCCGTCCAGGTGTGGGTGCAGGACGCAGGGCAGGGTAGGGCCGTGGCTGAGGTAGGAGGAGGTCCTCAGCACCCTGGGGTTTCCGCTGACATCACCGCCAGCTCAGGGTGAGGCGGGGCCCTCTGGGCCTGTGCCCACTGGAGGGAAAGGGAAAGTGCACAGCCCTGCTGGTGGCCCCCAGGCCTGCAGCCAGTGGCGCGTGCACGAGGTGATGGAGAGGAGGCCTCCCGTCAGGGATGCGGATCCCGGGGAGCCCCCGGCAGCCCAGGCAGAGCCTCTGAGCCTACCTGGCCCTCACTTTGCAGGCGGAGTAGTAGGGCCCTCGGAAGCCCAGGGAAGCCCTCTCCCTGGCTGTGGGTGGGTGGGGACCTAACACGCAGTTCGGTCCTCATTCCGTGATTCAAACCCACTCGCCTGCTCCTGGAATCTACAGTTCTAGCTGAGGGGACTGGAGCGCTTTTCAGGGGGCTGACTCTCGCCAGCCCAGGAGGGTCCAGGTCAGGTGCCTGCCCCCACGTGCCACACAGTCCATGTCAGCAGTGGGCAGAGAGCAGGAGGGCCCAGGTCTCCCGCTCCAGGCACAGGGGGATTCTCTTTCTGTCCAAAGGGACATCTTAGTGTCCCATAGCGGCAGGCTGGCCCCAGCTTAGATAACCTCATAGCCAGGGGGCGCTGGCTAGTCCTGGTGCCTCTGGAGCCCGCTCTCGGCACCCAGCCCCTTCCCCTCTCGGCGTGCCCCATGTTGGCATCTGAATGGTGTAATTCAAAGGGCAGACGGTGCTGGGTTCCAGTCCTGGTTCCGCCACTTGTGTGACCTGAGACAAGTGACTTCATCTTTCCAAGCCTCAGGGACCTCACATACAAAATGGGTAAATCACAGCTCCTGTTTTCTGGGGTTACAGCAAGAGTCAAATGGTCTCGTCCACGAAAAACCTTAGCACAGGACCCAACACGTGGTGAGAGCTCAGTATGTTTAAACTATTGTCATCAGTTAAGCCTTAGGGTCCTAAAAGGAGTAAAAGTGTCACCAAGAAATGCCAGGCATTGCAGCAGGCACTGGCAGGCCCCTGCCTCTCCTGCCAGCCTCCACCCCTCATCCCCATGGCCCCGTGGGGCTCCTGTCTGTGTACTCAGGACATGTTTGGTCAACACGTGAATGAATTAGTGAGTGTCCTCACTTACCTCTGTGGGCTTCGCCAACACTCTCATTCCTGCCGACCCATCAGGAGGGGACTGGATCAGAGGCTTCCCTAGTTCAGGAATCCACGACATCCTTGGGGCCCGGGACCCCTTCAGTGCCAATTTTCTGCAGCTGTGTGGGACATGGGATTTTGGGGGTGTCTGGAATGCCATTCCTGGGGGTACCAGCTATGGGAGTAGGGAGGGAAGGTGAGTGGGAGAGGTCTAGCCTGTCCCTGAGCCCAAACTGACTCACCCCACCCCCTTGGAGGGCAACTGAAGCATCGCCTGGTGCCAGACCTGCCCCCCTCCCGGCCACATCCCTTGGGGTCTGGCCTGCCACTCCCTGTGGATAAGGCCTGGAAGGCCGGAGAGGCAGCAAAGCAGTGTCCTCCTCATGAGCTCCCCGATCTCCCACCATCCTGTTGGGGAGGAGGGCACAAGGGGTCATACCCCATTCCACGAGAGGCGATGGCTTTTCCCAAGGCCATGCCGCTGGCCAATTGGAAGCCCCTCGTCCTGACTCCCAGCTTGACTCTCCGCAGAACAGGGAGCCCCGTGGGCCAGGGCCAGTGCTCCCTCGGTGCATCTTCCTGTGGCTCCAGCTATATTTCCCACCCTGAAGCTCCACCTCCTCCCAGAGCTCTCCTGCCCTTTCCATCCTCTGATCTCTCAGTTTAAATGAGTGCCCCTTGTCACCAGACCATGAAATTCTCAAAGGCAGGGGTGGGTTTTCCTTCCCTCTTCTGTCTTCCTAGCGCCTAGCACCCAGCAGGGTTTCGGAAACTTCTTGCACACCATGTACCAAGACAGATGGCTCTGGGGCTCAGGGGGCAGGAGTCTCCTGTAACCTCTGCCCTGCCCTCACCAGCAATCCCGGAACAAGAATCCCAGTCTGAGAGCCACAGGGGAGTGGGAAGTTGACATCCCCAACTGGAAATCAGAGGGCAGCCCCCTGCGCCCCCACGCCACAGAAATCCTGGAGGGGGAGCTATCACGCTCTG